CCTGTACAGTCGGAAGTTGTCAGCGGCGTTTAATCGAACTACGACATAACTTCCTAACTTCTTATGCATGTCCCCTAAACGGGGGGACATGCATAAGAGACGTGCTTGGCACTATTTGCTGTTAAATTCACCGGTGACTTTTGAGGGGTGACTGGGACTTGATACCTTTGACTGATTGCCTTTGCAAGCGGTCACGTTATGGCTGGCTTTATAGTAGTAAAAGGTAGAACCTTCACTTTCCCATCGTGTCTCGGAAGGGAGGGTTCGCTTGCCAGTGATCGTCAGGGCATATAGTGGATAGGTTTTCCATAGACGCGCATCAAGATCGCACGTATTGACGGTCAGGCAGATACATATATCTTATTAACCAAGCGCGAGGGCCGATATTCTTCCAGTACGGTCCCGAGCAAGCTTGGTTAATAAGAGATTTATTATACGACTGAAGTTCAAAGGGACACAAGTGCGGTATCATTCGGGACCATTCGGGACAGTGCCCGGTCCAATACTGAGAGAATATTGACTGGCAATAGAGCATTTTGATTGGTTGATTTTAGTTATTGGCCCTCTGACTGCCTGAGTCGTGTAATAAATCTTCAAAATGTACCAATCGCAACCATTATACTAAACCAATAACAGCAGAGTATAAAGGAACTAACAAACAATAAGAATTCATTAGTGGTAGCTAAGTTAATCAGTTAGAATTGATTACAAATTAAAGAAATATTAACAAATAAAACTAGTAAATGTACATAAATTAAATAAATACTAATAACCTTTTTAGGTTCCACAGGATCGACTATGGCAGCTTCTTGTGTTTTGTCATCAACAACAAGGTACATGTAGTTATCAGAGAGTGCAGGAAGTATGTGAACTTTCATGTTTGAGTGAACAATGCTTAATGGATTGGAATGGCTTTCAGCTGGCAGAAGACGATGTCCTATGCGTCTGAAAGTTCCTGGGAAATTTAAGGAAAATGTTGAGCAATTAATAAATAACAATATTATCGAAATCATTATTATCAATCAGATATCTCAGATTTCTAGTGGGTATCATTTCAGCACATTTATTTGAGAAGCTTCCACAATCATTTAGCAAAAGATAATCAGTACAAGCAGATAGGCAGATGTTGGTGATAACATACATCATTCAGATAATCTAGTCCTTTTATTACTTGTTTAAAGAACATAGATAAAGGGTCTGGTAAGCAGAAACCAAAGAAAAACAGACAGCTTGCTTTCAGATTTTAGCTAATTACTAGCAGATTTCACAAAACCTATTCCCACCGTTCTGTTTCTCTGTCAAGGTTATGTTTTTGTTGATGTACAATTAAAGACAAATTTCATTGCCAATAGCCAATTACCATGGACACAATATGAGAGGGCATATCCAATTTTCACTTTCAAAGTGTCCAATGCTTGGAATTGAGTAAATACTGAGGGATGATTGGGGTAATTGCAAAAAGTGTCTGTAAGTAGAGATGTTTGCTTACTAGAGAGTCTGATAGTAGAGAGTTCAATGTAGCTGACTTTATAGTTGTAGTATGTCATTGAAACAAACTTGTTTTTGTTTTGAAGGGTAAGGTTGTAGGGAGTCGGGGGTGGAGATACAATTAAGGTTGTTGGTAGACAGAGTGGTATTCCTTTAAATGACCATCAATCAGTATCAATGTTGAAAAACCAGTGACGGAAGTGTTTCTCAT